GTTTGGGGAGGTAAGGCCTGGCTGGAAGAAGTTTGTTTCTAGGGCAGGCTTTGAGAGTAAGTACCCTCATTTACCTGCAGTATGCTCTCTCTGCTTACTGCTTACGCTGATGGAGGTGGGCTCTCCAGCACTCTACTCCAGCCACCATGTCTGCTGCTTCCTGCTATGCCTCCCTTCCAAGATGGACTCTTACCCTCCAGAACCATAACCTCACATAACCCTTTCTTCTTCTGTAAGTTGCCTTGGCCATGATGTTTTATCACAGCAACAGAAAGGTAACTCGTATACTTGATGTCTGGTTTTCTCAGTTCCCAGCCCATGGAATGGTGCTCCCCACATTCACAGTGATCCTCTCACCTCAGTGATCCGGCCCATGGAATGGTGCTCCCCACATTCACAGTGATCCTCTCACCTCCGTGATCCGGCCCATGGAATGGTGCTCCCCACATTCACAGTGATCCTCTCACCTCCGTGATCCGGCCCATGGAATGGTGCTCCCCACATTCACAGTGATCCTCTCACCTCCGTGATCCGCCCAGTCAAGTTGACTTTGAAGGTTAATCATCACATCATCTTTCTTAAGAGCAACAGTTCAAAGGGACCCTTTCCTTTGCTGTATATGATAGGAATATGCCACACTGTCATGGAGCTAAGAAGTATTAACTTTGCTTGTCACTTTTAAGGAAAAACAACTGATCGTTTTGAAGGTATTTGGCTCGGAGTTGTAACTTCAAATGCTTTCTGAGATTATAAAGGTAAAGTGAATGGAGGGAGTGTTATGTGGGTTCCACAGGGCACCCCGTCTAAAGATTTTTATATTAGGATATGGGTGGTGCTTGGTGCTGGGTCCCACCGTAACCCTCATCTAAAGATATTTACAAGAGGGGATAGGTGGGGCTCAGTAGTAGACCACTTGCCTATAATGTATGAGCTCTGAGTTCAATTCCCACTACAAGGGGGGAAAAAATGCTATGCGATTCAACTTCATTGGCTAGATTCACCCCCTAAGTAACCAACAGCTTCGCTTGCTATTAGTTTAAATTACATATGCCCCTAGACTGTGAGGCTTCTACAACTCAATTTTCTTTCAATCACTTGAGCAGGATAAAAATGCTTGTTGGAGAGCAAATTTTCCCACCCTCCTTTTCCAGAAACCTCCCCGGGACACTGATAGGTCGACTGTGACGTATCCAGACGGCCCAGGTCCTCTGTGAAAAGATGCCTATCACTGCTGGCAGGTGGCTGTGCTGAGACTTGCCTCATGGCAAATGAAGCAGGCTCCTGTTATTTCCCCTGCATCGCAGAACAAAGAGCCCAACTTCTCAGAAACAGAAGGCCTGCAAGCTATCATTGCACAGGTGGAAAAACTCAAGGGCTCTCCACCCTTGACAGTCCCCCGCTCAACTATGAAGCCCTGGTTTTGTTCACAGCCTGAGACGGGAAATCCAATTCTATTCAGAAAACCGGCAGGTCGTTTTTCTCCTTAGAGAAAATGGGCTGCACAAATTATACACAAAAACCCAATATCTCCACCACTGGTTGTTGGAAAACAATAGAGCTTCCATTAGCAACCCTCTGCCCACAGAACACTCTCCAAGAAACTAAGTGCAGGGTTTGGGTGTAAGCAGAGCCCTGGTCCCCACTGAAGACACATCAAAATTGTAATAAAAACCCGCTTTTCGAAATGAAACTAAGCAACTGCTATTCCACACCCACATGCTGCTGGAGCGCATTCAAACACTCTCAGCTGACTGTTTCAAAGGAAAGTGTTCCGTTTCCTGGGCAGCGGGAGGGGGCTGACTCACGCCACCACCCCCTGCCTCAGAAGTGTGGGTACATATGCAAAACCGAAGGGGCCGGACATGACCGATGAGTTCGAAGATTGTCACGATCAAAAGAGCTGGCACTTTCCCACCATCTGTCCTCTGTCCCCATCTCCAGTGCTGGGAGATTAGAACTCCTGATGTGACAGAGGACTTCACATTTAGAGCTGTCCTATCAGCTTGGTGAAGAGGGGCAGGGGAAGAGGGAGCAGATTACAGGATGCTGCCTTCTCTCAGTGTCACAGGGGACTCAGCCTACCCTGCTAGGAGTCTGAAACTGTAAGAGCTCTTAAGGTGATCGGGTAGATCAGGGGGCACACTACGCCACTTCCCATCTTTTTGAGGGCAGCTACAGAATCGGAAAGCTAAGAAGATGACAAGCTGCAAACCACATTTGCCATATGGATTTTCAGAAGAGGAAACAGTCCCTCCCCTGCACACATGTGCATGCACGCACACACACACACACACACACACACACACACACACACTGTTCCAAAGGATCTGTAACTTAGCAGCCAAGACAGCAGCATATTGCTGGGTTCTGTAGCTCAGTGACTCAGAAGTCACTTTGTTTGCCAGCATATTAGATGTCAAATGACATTACTCCGCAAAGACATTTCCCCCTGGAAGCCTGGTCCTGAGTTAAGTGTCTCCTGAATGAGCAAGGGCTAGGTGTTAAAAAGCTGCTTCCTTGTAGACGGGCTGCCAACCTATAAGGGATACCACATACACCCAAGAATACCCAAGAAGCCTACATCACAGAGACCACATCTAGTCCTCTGTAAATAAATCCCCCCCAAGAACTTCACACAGGAATTCATAGATACCTCTTGAAGAAAGAAAACAACAACAAAACCCAGAAACGCCCAGGAAACAGACAGTAAAGAAAGGGCCATCTGTGATGTTTTGATGCAGGCACACTATGACTATGCGAAGTTGAGAGGCCAAGTCCACTGTGAGTCTGGAATGTGCAGAAATGGATAGGTCCCAGGACTGTCACAATCAAAAGAGGCAATGATCACACATCCCCTGCCATCCATCCTCATCTCCCAGTGCAAGAGGATTTCATAGTTAGATGGCTTCTCACATGAACAACGCAGCTCACACCCACAGAAGGCATTGCTGTCGCCATTGCGGACTGCAGAGAGCTCAGCACGGAAACAGGAGATTCTCAATGCACCTTGACCTGAGAAGTCACGGAGAGAAATGAGCCTTCACCTGAATGTTTGAAGTAGGAAAGGGCGGAAGATTGGCAGGATGGGGCACACGGAACAGGAAACGGCAAAGGAAAGTAAATAAGCTGTCATACTGTGTTTATAACATGCCAGACACTGTGCTAACATTTTCCTTTCATTATCTTTCTAATTGTAATGACAGAACGTCAGCGCTCTGACCCTTGTCCCATGAGCCACATTCAGGTGACCTCACACATCTCGTAGTGTTAGTGCCAATTGCAAGCAATGACCCCAAATCATTACTTCAGCCTAGACACTGCCTCCAAGCCCCAGATCCCACATGTCTGTCTGTCTGACATTTCCAACTGACTACCTAAAGGATATTTAAAGTTATCTGGAGGCAGGGCTTCCTTTCTGCAATCCACCAAAGGCAAACAGAGCCCCCCCCCCATGAACCTTTTCCACACACAGCCAGCACCCTCCACTTCTTACTGCCCTCACATCGACGGCTTGCCTGCCATTTCCAGACTGGCTCTCCGCCCCAGGGGATAAAGGTGAACTCTCCACACACACCACCAGTGGCCTTCTGAGTCTATGCATTCCAAGCCTTGACGCTGTAAAGTTAACGCTCTAGTTAACAATAACTATAGAGACAAAGCCTTGGGAGTCCTTGAACAGCAGAAACAACAGGTATAGAGAACGACTGGGAAAGAGAACAGAGTATCCAAGACCGACTGTTTGGGGACATCCGCAGACCGACTACGGAAGCCAGACTCTTCAAAGGCAGTGCCTCTGCTGCAAATGTCCCCTTTGTTCTCTTTCTGATCATCCTCCATAGGTTCAAGGCCGGAATCAAACTCAGCTCCTTTGCTGAGCCCCCAACCACTTCGAATTCAGCCTTTGACCCAGCAGCTAGCGTAAGGCCTTGAAAAGAGTTTTGAATGCTTAACACGGCCATCATGGGAGCCGCATGGGCAGCATGAGAAGGAAGGGGGTCTTTTAGAGCAACTAGCTAGGTCTTTACATAGGAGGCACATAAACGGAGCTATGTTTGTCCCAGAAGATAATAGGGAAGCCTATTAAGTAACTACAGTCCTGTGGGAGGATCGGAGGCAAAGCAGAGGAAGAGCCGCGGAAATATGAAGGAGGGTATTAAAATCGGACAGGGAGCCGCAGAGCCAAAGGGACAGTACGGTGGTAAACGGGTGTGGTGAGGACAGATAGCATTGCTTCGGAGGAAGCCATTGCGGTTGGAAGCAGGAGTGATGGGCACGCGGATTTGGCAAGCGTGTACATTCACTTCCTAGTCTTTCCCCTCTTAAGTACCACATAAATGATGAGCTCCCAAAAGAAGGTAGGAAGCCCAGGCTTTAACAACCAGAGGTTAAAATTGACCTACTCAATGAAGTGTGTGGCAGGAAGTTAATGAGGCAAGGAAGCGCTTAGCAGGCAATGGAAGACAAGCTTAGGTTTGGTCCTGGAGGTTGCAATTATTTTCCCACTAAGTGGTGCTGGGGGCTTGTCTTCTCACTGGGTGCCAGGCCTGGGTAGGGACTGGGGCGGAGGGGTGGGGGGAGAATGCACCATCACCTGGACCTGGCGATACATTCATAGTGTCTACCCATCCGTCTTTGTCCAGGCCTGGGTGGGAAAGCCACAAGCCTCCTTTGCATCCCCTTCGTGCTGTTGAGCACCCTCTTCCTCACTGAAATGGGTGTGGTTGCTGGGTGTTCTGTTCCTAGAATCCTAGAAGGAGGCCTGCACAGTGGGCGCTCAGCAAACTGTCTGAGTGTGGATGAACTCTGCTGTCTTCCACCTAAGTCTATAGGGACACTGGAAAGGCTAGGGAAGGTTCGAAGGAGAGCAGTCAGAAGGAAGCACAAGAGTCTGCAGGTCCCCGTTACGAGGTCCACCGGCCTGAGCAGAAGGCTCCCCAGAGCCATCTGGGACTGCGTGCCGCTCAACACCAAGGTCCAGGTCTGCACAGTTTGCAACTGACCTTCCTGCGGGGAAGCCCGCGTGGGGTGCAACAGCTCGGCTCCGGCGTCGTGGTCCCACCACCCCGGGGCAGTGCTCTGCGCCCGCTGCGCACGTAGGTCACCTGCCTCCTACTGGCACCGCGTGGAGGGTCGGGCGGGGGCAGCAGGTGCGGCCGGGGTGGCCCCGGGGGATCGCGGCGTCCCGGGGATCCGGAGCCCGCGCGGTGCAACTCGATGCAGAGCCGCAGGCCCAGCAGCAGCGCAGCACCGAGCAGCCACCGGGGCAGGGCTCCGCAGCCGCGCCCGGGAGGCCTGGCCGTGGCCATGGCGGGGACCCCGGCTGCGCTCTGGGCCCCGCCCTCCGCTCCAGGCCGCCTGCAGAGCAGCGTCCCTAAGGGCCCCCGGCTGCCAACTGTGGCAACTCCCCAGCCGGCCGGGTGTCGGCCCGCCTTCCTCCCTGCGACGGCGGAGGCCCCGGCGTAACCTTATCCTGCCCAGCAGGGAGAGCAGGGGCGGTGGGCTAGGCACACCCGCACATTCCTGGGGTCCTGGGCTCCGATTTCTTTCGCTAGTGTTACTATTAGACACGGAGGGGGCGGGAAGGTGAGCTGCCAGGTTTTGCACCGAAGCAAAAGTTCTGTCAAGCGCTTGAATGCCGTTAAACACGACATAAAAATAAAGCATACTTATGCTTCCGTTTACAATTTCTCTCCCTCAAGGAAGGAGGGAGGGAGAGAGAACAGCAGAAGAGTCAAATTAGAGGAGTTATTCAGGTTCTAAATTCTGCCCGAAGCCAATCCGTGCTTTCTCTTGGTGTTATGAAATGTGTGGGGATGAGGGGGAGGGGGAGCCAGCTAAGACATCTGACAGCCGGGAGGGAGAACAGAAGTTACCATGGCATGATGGAAATCAAATTAATTTAGTTCCAAACACATACCTCCCCGCTGCCTTGCAGAAATGCAGAGGGACAAATTTATCTCTAGGCAAAATGCTCCCCAGCTGGTATTGCCATCATCCCCTTGACCTTAATTAATAAAACCTAAATACTCACTCACAGTTAGAAGCCCCGGGTTTGGTGTTCCACTTTTGATTGTTAGGACTCTGTCCCTCCTCCTGTTTGGGGTGAGTTTGATTTCTAGATTTACATTCGGGTTATTTTAGGTCCTTTTTAAAACTATGGCCAGGTAACGCACACACATGCACACACATGCACACACGTTCGCTCGCGCACACACATGTACACACACACACACACGTGTTTTCCATGCTTTTCTGCAGGCTGTCTCTGCTGTTCCGTCTCTTCCCCCAGCCTGCAACATGAACAGCAGAGACTAAGAATGATGCCTGGTCCCCTCCCCATTTGAGTTTTGGGATTTTCTATAGGGAGCCCTGCTCTATGAAGTTCCCATTCCTTTTTGGCTGAAGACCCAATTTGTTATTTGTCACGGAGCACTTAACCTGTTTTCCTCCAGCCACAGAACTTCTGAACCCTGCCGAGACCATTCCCAGGCCACCACCAGTTCTCAGGCTCATGGAGCTTCATTATGTTTGAAAATATTCATACATGATTGGAATATAGATAGACGGTAGACACAGATGAAGGATAGATGGATAGACATGGATGTTAGATATAGGGGATAGATGGATGGACAGACAGACAGATAGACAGACAGACAGACAGGCACACAAGCAGATATGTACTTGCCCACCTTCGGGGAAATTGCAGATAAAGTCAGTATTAAGGCGTACAAACAAATGCCTTTTTATTCACACAAGCTGTAAGAGACAGCCTCTCATCCTGTACTTATTTACATGAACGGCATTTGAACCACAATCCTCCCATTGAGCGATGGGAGACAGTAAACAAAGAAGTTGGTTTGTGTGAGTTTCTGTTTCCTGTGGGGAGACAGGCCTTACTTAGGGTTACAAATGTCACATGTATTATGTATTTCGTGTCTGAGTAAAACTTTGTCCTTTATCATTTACCAATAAAGAAAATTCTAGGTATTGTTACAGAAAAAAAAAGATATACATCTTTTTAAAAATGGGCAAATACAAAAAAAGACAAGGTGATCTAGAAACATCATTGACTCAGGGTTTATAAATATCTTCTCTTGACTTTAGAAGCTCCCAACTAGTATGATAAAAACACGTTGTATGTGTGTGAAAATACTATGAAACCCATTGTCGTGTATAATTGGCATATGCTAGGCGGTACGGTCAGTTTCAATGTCTCCATTGACCTAGATTGTGGGTGACACCTTTGGGTTGCCGCAGAGATTAAACGGAGGTGTTTCTTTCAGAAACTTCTCACCTTCTGCTTCCTTGACCTCCCTTCCTGCCCTCCAGGTTGACTTACCTGTCTCTGCTTCCCCTACTCCTGGTGAAGGGGTTAATTTCTCCACCGCAGCGGAACCAGCCTAGGGTCCAGTGCTCTCAGGAACTTTGCAGGCCTCTGACGCCAGACTGGGCCTACTGAGGCGCCCTGCCCCGTGGACTGGGTAACTACAGTCGCCACTCCCAGGGAGAGACTGCTATTCTGGGACTACTCTGACTATTGAGGGACCCAGTCTCAAGGACCAAGTGCCAGATTCTCGGTGTCTCAGCTGTGATTGTCACTATTTTACAGATTGCTTGATAACATATTCATCCACTGGTCTGTTCCTCTAGAGAATCCGACTCAAACACCAGCAGTTTCAAGAACAGGTAAGACTCATGATCTCAGGGCGGGGCTGGGGCTGGGGCTGGGGCTGGGGCTGGGGCTGGGGCTGGGGCTGGGGTTGGGGCTGGGGCTGGGCTGGGGCTGGGGCTGGGCTGGGGCTGGGGCTGGGGCTGGGCTGGGGCTGGGCTGGGGTTGGGGCTGGGGCTGGGCTGGGGCTGGGGCTGGGCTGGGGTTGGGGCTAGGTGGGACACCACTTGCCTAGCACGTACAAGGGCCCTGAGCTCCACCCTCCAACTCAAGATTCTGCAAATGCTCTTCAATGAGTTATCTACTTACATGGCATTGCTTAAAGCAACATGTGTAGTGTTTGCTAGCCCTAGTTCAGCAACGTCTGATGTGGACTTTGCTAGAAGGTGGTTAGTTTCATTTAGTGTTTTGTTTGTCTGTTTGTTTGTTTTTCTGAGCAGTTAACACAGTGCCACTAAGAAAAGAAACAATCTTCTCAAGATCATGGCATCACTGATGCATGCCCTCTTCTAGTTTCTCTACAGAGAGGCATCGGGAAGACTCCCCTATGTTACTAGAATGGGGTATCTAAGGAGACTCCGTCCTGGGAGGACAGCACGACACAGTCATGGACACGTGCAGAACTGTGTAGCCCTTGAAGAGAACGGGCAAGATGATCTCATATGTCCCCTTCTCTCATTATGCTTCTGTAATATAATGTCTCCCTTATGGGCGAAAAACACCCAGACTATATGCAATGTTTAAATACCCTTTCCTTTATATTTTGCAACCGTGTTTATTTATGTTAATTACTCATCAAAAGACCTACTGGCATGTATGTAACATCATTAACTTTCTAGGCAGAGCTCTCCCACTCTCGACTCCCACACAATATTTCGCTGTGTGGTGAATGGTGATGGACTGGCCAATGGTGAGCTGGGGTCACCACTGTCACAGCTGACAGGTGACCTTTCCACTTGGGGCCTTGGCCTTTCCCTTGCCAAGGTTGTTCCTGAATATGTCTCAAATAAGCAGATCATCATTAGCCATTGTGTCATACGCTTGCTAATTAAATATGGGGATCAGTAAAACACAACAGTGACTTTTTCCCACATCATAAAATACATTCTCCATGAGGTTTTAGCCAATAAAATAAATTGAAAAGAGTTTTTGTTGCTGATCTCCAACACTATGCATTTTATATGTATTACATATATGTGTGAGAGAGAGAGCATGTGCATACGTGCGTGTGCACGCGTACGTGCATGCATGCACATACACACATACACACACACACTGGAGTGCAGTGATTTCCAGCCAGGGCTAACTTTACCTTACAAAGGTACACTAGACAACGTCTAAAGACATTTATGATTATTGCAGCTCATAGGGAAAGGGGAAGACAATACTAGCATCTAATAGATAAAAAACCAGGATGCTACTAAACATTCTCCACTGGAAAAGTCAGCCTTCCCCAGTAAAGTATGCTCCAGCACAAGATGTCAGCAGAGTTGACTTTGAAGAACCACGCTGTCACAATAGATGCTGATATCGAAATTTTAAATTACTGACGTACCAAGGAGAAAAGGGAGGCCAACAGAAATGACCCTCGCTCTTGTAGAGTGGCTGTGCCTCTGCTCTCCTGTGTAAACGCCCAGACTGGACCAAAGCAATCAGATGTTCAAGAGGATTGTCGCTGGAAGGTTGCCATCAGCATCTTCCTCCAACCAGTACTGTCCTTTCTCCACATGTGCACTGTGGGAATGTATACCAGCCAGAGAAGATGAGAGCAGTCATTTCTTATTCAGAAGTGAGTACCCTCACGGACTCCTCCTGTTTACCAAAGGGAAATCATGTCCACCCTACTGTGATCTACCTTTGTAACATAATATTTACTATATTACATGCCCAAAGTATTATACATGCCCAAAGAAGACAAAATCACCACTTTGTAAATAATATGCTTGAGATTCGCTTTAAAATAACTCTGTGGGGCTGGAGAGATGCTCAGCTGTTAAAGGCTAGGCTCACAACCAAAAAATACAAAATAACTCAGTGGAGAGAGGTGGGGTATGCACGGGATAGAAACAAAGCAAAAATGGCTGCAAGTTGGTTATTGTTATAACTGGGTAATGAATTCATAGTTCTTCATGCTTGAAATTATGTGCAACAAATATGTTTTAAATTGTGAGCTATTAGCTACATCTTTAAAAAAACAAAATTGATAGTTCATATTACTTTATGACACATCGTTAGAAGATTTAGATGGTGATGTTGTCACTATAGCAAAGATTGACATGCCTATAATCCCTCATCGTTCCTATGCTGGGAGAGCAAGAGTGTCTAAGGTCTACCATAACCCAGATACCCATCACTCACGGAAGACCTACTCCAAAGACCGGCAATGGATGCCACAAACTGTATAGACCCAAACTCTCTGCAAACACTGCTGCTAATTTGATAACTTTGACATCTACATGGCTTGTTAATGTGATAATCTGGGTCGATCTGATAACTGAGATCTCTGTATGACTAGCAAGCTTGGTTGGACCAAAGTGATGACTAATTTAATTATGCAACCAAACCAGCACACAATTGGACACTTATGAACTGTGTATTTCTGGAATTTTCCATTTGAAATTTTCCCACCTAAAGTTGTCTTCAGGA